CCCGCCCCAGTGTGGGTTGGCAGTGGGAATGCCAAAGCCTCCTGTCTAGGAACTTGCCCTGGCCGGGGACACCCAGCAGCTGCTCGGGGCAAGTCGGGGGGGATTTAGGGAGACCTCTGCGTGGGTCCTGTCTGCAAGTCATCCCACAGGAACTGTCTGCTTCCTGACAGGGTGGGCAGCAATGTCTTCACGCGCAAACGTACTCTGAAAGGAAAGATTCTTGACGGTTTGTCCCCATCCTGTGAGGACGCGGCTTCACCCGCCCCATGACTGCACTAAGGCTGCAGCCCAGCCCCCCAAAGCAAGAAAAACCAGCCTCTCACATTAAAAAAAAAAAACAAAAACATGTCAGCTGTGGTCATCTTTTTTAAAAACTGCCATCGCTCCTGCTCTGAGTCAGCTTCTGTCCCCATGAGTACTTCTGCAGAGGGGAGGTCTTGCCACTATCTGCTGGCCACCACTGCCCTTCCCCAAGGACATCTGGATCCCTCCCAATTTCCCCCATGCATCTCTCTGGCTCATTTCCCACCTCATCCTAACTTGAACTTCCACCATGCACCGTCACTCCTCACCTGCCTGATGGTGGGAGAGGTGGCATCAGCATCCTGAATCCAGCCGCCTTCCTTGCAGTGCCTTCATAAGGAGAAATAGACGTGAAATATTGGTAAAGTGCTTCCTTCGCACTGCATGGCACCCAAAGTAAAATGTGCACAATCAAAGCCCCCAACCCATCCCATCCTGTCCCTCTATGTTAAAACCAGGCATTTCACCCTTCTCTGACACTGTGTTTGGGCAGTGCCTCTACAGACACTCGCCAAGCTTAGTCAGTTCTTTCAATGCAAGGTTTTTAGCAGGTCCATGAGTGAATACGAAACCTCTTTGCAGAAGCATTACAAACATAACCCACCCCTGGGGATGCCAGCACACTAGCTGTACAGTCTGTCCAGGCAGGCCCAGCTCCAGAGAGGCTGGTGCAGGCTGCCCTGTGTGATGAGGAGTGGTGGCCACCACCTCCCTGGCACCTCAAACAGGGCGGCTTGTCCCTGCCAAAAAGCGCAGAAAGGCAGGGGCTGGTGTCCGGCCAAAAGGATGGAGGGTGTCATCCAGGGCAAGAGCAAGAGATACCTCAGGGGGAATTTCTCAGGTACCCATGACAAGCACGTGAGTCTGGGACCATAAAAGGTGACAAGGAGGAGTGATGTGTTAGGAGAGGAGAGGTTTCTGCTCACCCCAGCCTTTGGGGCCATCTGGACCAGAGGGAGAAGTGCTGAGCAACAGCTGCAGTGGGGTCCTGGGGTGTGCCAGGGCTCGTGATGGGCACCAAGCGGTGCTGCCCCAGGGTGGGACTCCCCCCCACCAGTACTCATAATGCAACCCTGCTGTCATCCAGTGCCCAGACACTGCTGTCCTGGGGGTGGCATGTGTGTATACAGCTGAACCCCATCTTAATTTTTAGTTGCCTACTGCCCCATGCCTTGCTCCAAGCACTGGAGCAATCTGAGAAGCAGCCCAAGAATGCAGAGACAGTGCACACTCTGTTTTGCACATCCAAAGCCCATAAGAGCAGCAAATATAAGGAAGAGGTGCAAACACAAGGCTGGCTATCATGCCAGGTGCATGAAGCAAACACACTCGCTTAGACCCAAGTAACCTCTGTGGTTCCTTCTTCCCCTAATTGTTGTAAAAGCAAAAGCAGCCAAATTAGCAGTTGATATCCAGGAGATGCTGGGGAAATATTGCTGATAAAGCAGAAGGCAGGGCAAGCTTTCCCTCCCATGCACCGCTGCTGCCACTGCTGCTTGCCTCTGCCAGGGATGCCCTGGCGCCACGGGGCTGACACCCTGGTCAGGCAGCGGCACCAGCAAAGCAGGGAGCAGCTAAATGTTTAAACAGGTAATAATTTCCAGGCTGCACGCACAGGAGGTAGATTCCCAAGAAATGTAGTTGATGCTTTCCAGGCTGCTATAAGGGCCTTAAAAAAAAAAAAAAAAATCTGTGCCCCTGCCTCTCTGCACAGCCGTGCTCATCCCTGCATTCCTCCGGCTCTGCCCAGGTCACACAGACCTCCTCACCTCTCCTGTCCTGTCCTGGGCACCCTGCCACCCAGCCACCCTCCCGGTGGCTGCCAGCCCAACACCCGCCGTGCCCACAGAGCTCTGGTTACAGCCCTATAAAGGGAGCTGAGCCGAGCGCCTCGCAGCCCCACGGCCATGGGGAGCAGTGCTTTCGCCCTGGTCCTTGCCCTGGCCCTGGCAGCGCACGTCACCCCGGTGGAGAGGAAGGTATGGGGAGGGGTGGCACCCTGCTAGACCCCAAAGGCTGGAGCCTGGGGCTGTGGTGCTCAGCAGGGAGCTGGTGCTGGGATGCTGGTGCTGGTGGGACCAACATCATGCAGTGCTGGGGGGAGTGGCGGAGAGGCTGGGAGGGAAGGACTGCTCCTGCAAGGATGCTCTTCACTGTGGGAATCTACCCAGAGACAGGCAAACAGCCGTGGCCAGAGAAACCCTGTTTCCCACCAAGCGTGCAGGGCAAGCAGCACACCCTCTGCTTTAGCTGGGGGAGGACTTCCTCTCCTCTGGGTGCGAGCAGCAGAGTCCAGAGCGGTGGCTGGGCTGAAAGAAATCAGTGCCAAGGGTGTGATGCTCTTGCTGAGGCGGTGACGCCCTCACCGAGGTGGTGATGCCAGTGGCACCAGCTTCACACAGGGTCCAAGGTACACCCTCCAGTGCTGCAGGCATCCCCGGGCAGAGCCAAGGTGGTGGGGTGGAAGTAGGATGTCCCCCTGCCTGGCCAGGCACCCCAAGCCACAGCACTGGCCTTGCAGTGCCTTCTCTCCGGGTCATGGCGGAGCGATGCCGGATGCCGGATGGTCGTGTCTGTCCTCGGCAAGGACGGAAGCTTCTCCGGTTCCTACCTGCCGGGGCCTGCTGCTGGCAACTTTGAAATCCTCACCTCGCCACTGGAGGGGTCCCAGCAGGACGCGGGGCTGGTTCTGCAGCCCACCTTCTCCTTCACCGTGCACTGGCGGCTCCGAGGTAGGGAGGAGGGGGCCATCACCCTGCAGCAGGGATGGCAGTGGGATGTAGGTGGGGTGGCTTGCGTCTCACCACCCTGACTCACACCACCTCGGACCCTTCCAGACTCAGAGGCAAGCTGGACAACTGTCTTCCTGGGCCAGTGCTATGTGGGCACCAACGGGGAGGAGACCCTGCACACCCTGTGGCTCCTGAGAGAGGCAGCCCACAGCGCCTCTGAGGATTGGAAAGGCACGCGGTGAGTGCCAGGTCCCAGCCACCGCTGCATGAAGCTTTCCTGTACCCTGGGCTGAAGAAGGGAGAAATCCCATGGCATGAGGCATGGCAGGACTGGGAGGGTGAAATGGGTTTGTCAGTGGTGATGAGCAGGGGCTAAGGGGCAACCCTGTGACCTGGCCAGCCCTGCATCCCCAGTGTGCCCCAGCACAGGTGACCACAGGACAGGGTCCGGCCCCAGCTGCACCCCACTGGGACTCTCCTTGCAGTCTCCCCAACAGGGAGAGAGCAGGACACCATGCCAGCACCTGGCACAGCTGCCACTGCAGGGTGTCAGAGTGCAGGGTGTCAGAGTGCAGGGTGTCAGAGCCAGGGGCATCAGCACCCAGAGAGGCAGTGGGGAACACTGTGCCCTCCTTCGGGTGTCCCCTCTGTGCCCTCCACCACAGCATAGGTTACCCTGGCTGAGTGAACCACAGTGATTTGGGGTTTCCTACAGGATTGGCACCAGGATTTTCACCCGGATAAAATAACAGCTAGCGGGGAAATCCAAGAGACCCAGGACCGCAAAGAGACAGCACCTTCCCCAGCCAGGCTCTGCCCGTGCTGCATTTCAGCAGCTCTCAGACCGCAGGTTCATGCTTTCCCAGGCACATTCAGCCTGGCATGAAGGCTGGGCACCAGGTGCAAAATAAAGAGTTTCTGTGAGGAAGTGGGGCTTGGCTCTGGTTTCTGCCCTGCCTCAAACCCACAGGGTTTGTCTTGCCCCGCAGCCACCCTCCCACGGGGAAGCTTTGTGCAGTATCACTGAGGGCAGGAGGGTCCCTGGGGATGGGGGCTGTCCCAGGTCCCCTCCCTGGCACTGTGCAGCAGTGCTGCACCTGAAAATCTGCTGCTGTTCTGGGGTTAACTGGTTCCTTGGGCTTCCTCCAAAAGGTTCCCAGCGGTGTGGGGAAAACCAGGCTGTGACCAGGAGGTGGGATGAGGCACAGCCTGGGTGGGAGGCTGTGGGCAGCATGTCCCAGGGCTGCAGGGCAGGCTCCAGGCAGAACCTTCCCCATGCAAGCAGAGCAGAGGAAGTTTCTCAGGCACCCAAACACGGGGCAGCTACAAATGGCTTTTGCAGAGCCGGCAGCCTCCTGTTCCCAGCCCCAGCGGATGCACTGCAGTGGCCAGCTGCCAACAGCCCCAGGGATGGAGAAAGCTCCCAGAGAGCCTGTCCCAAGAGAGACCCCTCAGCATGGACATGTCCCCTGAGCAATGCACCTGTGGTGGTCTCCAGCCAAGCCCATGATGCACCACACGTCACCAGGGAAAGGGAAGAGGGGAAGGACGCATCTGGCACTGGCTGGGGTTTTTTGGGCATCCCAGACCAACCTCTTTTCTTTCTGCCTCAGACACCTTGCCAAAGTGGTCCTGACAAGACTGGCTCCCTTGGGGGTTCAGCAGCCCTGGCGCTGAGATGCCCAGTTTTGGGAGCTGGGGGAAAGCAGTGGCTTCATCACTGTATTTCCAGCTGCTCTTTTAACTGGGTGCTCAGATTTCTGGTGGTTTTTCTATTTCCACCAATATCCAGCAGCTGGTGCTAGTGGATAAAAATAGGATGCATGCTGATGCAGCGTTTAGGTTTCCTTTGCAAAGGAGGATATGTCTTACTCCTGCTAGTGACTGAAATTCCCACCTTTGCAAGAAACCCTGGTTCCTTCAAAAAGAATCAAAACCTGATTCCTCTAAAGCCGTGAGGAATCAGCCACACAGCCCAGGCCCCCCATGGGGGCAAATTCCATTTCATGCTTTCATGACTTCCACTGTGTCACTACTGTGGAAAGGAGATGGCACTACTGACATTCAGGGAGTCACCAAGAAAAAAAAGAGAGGGTTTCCATTCAGCAACACCTACACAGGACTTGCCCTGGGCTGAGCAGAATATTTTGCCCTGAAAAGCTAATTCGTCTGGTCTGTCGGCGTGCTCCCGTGGTGATGAAGGCACTTGCTGGGACACTCATGGGATATGGGTCGACCTTGGGAATAACAGAGGGAACATGGTGGGGAGGGCAAGCAGCAGCCATAACGCTGACCTCAGCCAGAGTGCGAGGCTGAGCATGCCTTCAAGCAGCGCCGATGCACACACAGCCTGCGCTCCGATCCCTGCATCCTGCAAGGGAAATAGACTTCGTGCAGTGTCTGCAGCAAGGAGGAGGGCTGCAGAAATACCAGACTCCTCCTCTTCCTCTCCCTGATGGGAATAAGGTGCAAGCTTCAAGCCTCAGGACTCATTCCAGGAATTTTTATCATTGCTGCCCTTTAACCCAATGAGTGAGGCCCAGGCTGGGTTTCCTTCCTCTTGCTGGCTCAGAGCTGGCCACTGTGGGACCAGCATGAGCACATAGGAAGTGATGAAAAAGAGCAGCCCTGGGACAGCATGGGCTGAAACTGCAGAGCAGCTGTCCTCAAAATTCCCAGTGCAGACATGTCCTCACTGTAGTGCAGGGACCAGCTCTGGCCTGTGCAATACCCCAGCCTCTGCCGCAAGCTTTCCCCATGGAAGGGCTGCACTGGCTCGTGCAGGCAGTGCCGGGCAGCACGAGCGCATGTTCGGCTGCATTTGAGAAGCCCGCTGTGCTCGCCTGGCTCCCTGCCCACTCTCCAGAGCTATCTCCCCTCCCAACACTTGGCCAGAAAAGTCAGACCACTGCAGAGTGTGGTGCTGACCCCATCACCCCTGGCCAAACACTAGCTCCAGTGGCTGCTCCCTGCTTTGCTGGGAACACCACTGTGTTTTATTTCAGATGACTCCTACAATACCGATGAATGCTGGGCCAGGGACTCCAGGTGACAAGAATGGCACTACAGACCCTGCCCTTGAACTGCAAAAATGAAACGGAACGGAGGATGGAGTCCTAGACGTTCCTGCCACCACACACAGCTCTAGGGAAAAATGGTCCAGCAGGTCCTGGGGGGATGCTGGCAGGCTGTCTGCCCTGGTTGTGAGCCGGCCGGCGGGGGGGGGGCCACGCCTGCCACAAGCATGCTGCTGCCTGCCCTGAGGCGGAGCCCATGGCTGTCTCTCCTCCTGGGGCAGACACATAACATTCAATTTTACATCCTGTTCACCTGCACAAGCACCCTTTGTTTCCCAGGTGGGCTGCGAGTGCGGTGCTGCCTACACCCATTGCCTTGCTGGTCTCCTGTGCCCCCAAACCTCAAGCTGGGCTCTGCAGCCTGAGCTCAGGGTCTGCTAGTGCCTCCCATGACCCCAGTGATCATGACCAAACCCAGGTAACAGCCCCGATTTAGCAACCCACCCAGCAGGCAGGGCCCTCCCCACAGGAACGGGGCGGTTGCACCACCCTAGCTCTGCTCAGCTTCCTGCGATTGTGCAGCTCCCTGTTATGACAGCAGTGGTGGGGGCTGACACTGGCTCCTCGCGCTTCCTACCCAGGAAGCCGCTTGCTTCCGCGGCGCCTTGGGTGCATGCAGGTCACGGATGGGTGCTGGGTGCTCACAGCACGCACTTGTTTCCAAAAGTGGTTCAAGAGTGTTTTCACAGCCTTGAAGGGGGTGAGAGCAGAGCAACTGCCCAGCAAACTTGCACCGTGCCTCAACAAGCCCGTCTGCACAGCAGCAGCCATGGGAAGGGAAAGCAATGTGCATTTCCCTCCATTAGGCTCATTAGGCTGCGAGAGTGATCATCCCACAGCCTCCCCTCAGTTCCTCCCACAATACTCTCAGCCCCCGCTGCAGCCCCTAGCCTCCACCCTGCAACCCGGCCCCTCATCGAAACGACTACAGATGACACAGTCACACATCATTAATATCTATTTACATTTATTAATAAGGAAATTATTATTATCCTGATCTAGATGAAGACACGCTTGCTCATTGCAAAAGGATTGGACTAGATGACCTTTAAAGGTCCTTTCCAACACAAACCATTCTATGATTCTGTGAAATGTCCTGAAGAAGGATGAGGAGAGATGCTCATCAGGTACCAATAAGCTGCACTCCAGGCAAGACACCACTCATTAGCTCAAAGTGTTTCTGCTCAGCCCTGAGGAGCAACTAGAGGCAGCTTTCTCCATCACCGGAAAGTGCAGCTAAACTCAGGCATACAAGGACACAGCTTTTAAACTGTCCTGTGGCCACGAAAGCCTTCAGAAGAGCAAGCAGTTCTGCTGCTCTCTGTTCTACGCCCCCCTCAGCAGTTCAGTTCAAGGTATGCCTTCTCCTCAATGCCCAGAAGCCCTGCTCCTGGGGCTGCGGGAAATGAAAGGACACACAGCTCAGGAAGGACTTCACATTACCTTCTCTAGCCAGGCCAGGAGCTGTGCCCATGGCTCAAAAACTAGCAGGAACAGGCAACACACAGAGTGTATTACAATGGCAGGACCACTCCCTGTGTGGGCACTGAAGGTCAGCTCACTATCTCACTCCTAGAGATCAGGCAACACCACAGGATTAAGGGGAAGGGACAAGGGACAGATGCTTGCTGTGACCAAGAAGTGCAGGACCCAGCCTATTCACCTCCACCTGAGCAGGGAAGAAGCAGAGCAGCAGCCTCTATCACTAACTGCATCGAGTCAGACCACGTATGGGTACCTCAGGCCCCGCTGCCTTCACCCTCCATGCTACAGCCCATCTTCATGAGCCACAGGATGCACCCGGGGCTGCAGGCCACGTCACCAGCTATAGCAAAGTTCCCAGAGTTTCTTACCCCATCTCAGATATAGAACAAAGTGTCAGAACAGGTCAACCCTAAAACGGTACCTCCCTGGTAAATGCTCTGAGCTGCCAGCAATCAGGAGAGTATTCAGAAGAATCTGCTTTGATAGATTATCTGTTAATAAAGGTCTCTTCATCCCTGCCTGGCAGGGTGCATGGCATCACCCCGAGAGGCGGGAATCGGCGGTGGTCACATCTCATCCGCACGGTGCTGCTGGACCACAACTGTGGCAGTGCGTTCCACCCACTCCTGCCTCTTGGCTTTCCATGCCACTGCTGCCTGCAAAAGGTCGCTCTGGGAGTGCAGCTCCAGAGACTGGGGAGGGCCCAGCTCAGAACCCACCGCCCCCAGAGGAGGATCGGAGGATGAGTTGCTGTTGAAAGAAGATCTGGGATCGGGGCTGGGTAGACTCTGTCCCTCTTCCCATGACTGATTGAGGCTGCCCAACAGCGAGGGGTCCTCAGGCTCTGGGCTGAAGCTCTCCAGCACAGCATCCTCCTGGACAACAGGTGCTACCTGGTTCGGGAACTCGCGGATCTGCCGTGACAGCACTGCAAGAGAGATAGAGCCAGCGCTGTCATTCCCAGTGTCTCATCATGCTGCTCTGAGCACGCACCACTGCAGAGCCCACGAGAGACAAAGAAATGGTTCAACTAGGGCTGCTTCCTCCCAGCAGAGGTGGGGGGCAGACACGCTGCACAGCTGCCAGGCACAAGCACAGCTCATGCCCTGAGAGGGACTGGATCCCTCCAGTTCTGGTACCACCCTTAGCCCAGGGCCCTGCCCCGAGATGGGCCTCTGCAAGAGGGCCAAGGAAGACTCCAGAGCTGGTGCGAGACAGCAAAGCCAAACCTAGTGGTCACCCCAGGCAAGGGGCTGCTGGGTTGGAGGTGCTCCAGAGCTCAGGCTGTCTCTGAGGAAGGCGCTCTGCCCTGGAGCCACGCCTCAGCCCCCAGGCACTCACCTCTGAGCTCCAGCTGTGGCTCTCTGCTCCCAAACAAGCAGATGCGGGGGGAAAGAATGAGGCAGAAGGACAGAATCACAACCTGGAAACAGAAAGAAGATTAGCAAAGACCTCAGCAAAGGACATGCATAGCATCCCACCCACAATAAAAATTTCTCTCCCAAATTTATTAGTACAGCAGAGACCCTCTCCATAGACAATGGGGCTGGAGACACTCACCATGATGCAGGTTTTTGCTGTGGTAGTTTTGGTGGTGGACTGTCTCACCAAGGCCTGCAGTTTCCGCAACTGCTCAAGCAGCGACCTGCATGAGAGCAGGCAACGCAGGTTAGTGCAGTGGCTGAACCAAGAGCTGCACATTCCCCTCCTCCCCCTTTGCAGGCAAGGACAGACCACAATCAGAAGAGGAACAGCCTTCCTCACCACATCTCCTGCCACGTCCAGCAACTCACATGTTCTGCTTCTGCAGCAGCTCCACCTTCTTCTCCAGCTCATGGTTCTGAGCTGTGCAGACTGCCACCCTTCCCAGGAAAGATGAACAGCACAGGGAAAGAGCAGAGAGGTTTTGTCAGTCAACAGCAGGGACTTCGCCAGAGTCTCTCCTCAGGTAATCAGCCACCATCTCTAGGTGGCTCAGGCAGATAAAATTCCTCCTGGGAGCAAAGCCCAGAGAGCGAACATCTCCCATCAAATTTTGTAGGGGTGAACCCTGCCCAGTCCTGCAGAGAAGCATCAGACTAATCCCTAAGGATGCTTGCTCCTAGTGGCACACCAGCCCTGCAGATCCACAACATCAGGCTGTATTGCAAACTAGCCTGACCTGGCAGGCCAGCACCTGGCTTGAACAGAGCAAGCTCTGGGCCATCTCCAGGCGTAAGAGCGCAGGGCAGGCTATGCCCCAAGCTTCTGAGCTCCCTGAAGAGAGCTGCTGCCCGAAAGGTCAGCCTCACTTTCTGCCCAGGGTGGCCTGCCCAGCTGTTTGTGACTGGTACTCCCTGCTCCCAACCCCTGGCAATGTTGTCAGCACAACTAACGCCATTTTACAGGGTGAGCAGCCATCCTCTGTGATCAAGTGGGTCATGCATTTGTTCCCGTCCCCTCGTTATCAGGCCTTGAAGGTCCTGTGCACCATGCAGACAAAACAAACAGATTTCTTCTTCCCCTCCCTACCAGCCTCAAGGTTCCTGGGCAACAGGCCAGTTACTGCCTTCCTTTCTGGCCTTGAAGGTCCCAGGTGTTGTTTATGTCCCTGTCACAGAGCAGGGAAGTGTAACAGCGCACAGAGCACTGTCCATAAAATCAAGCAGTTAAAAGTTTTAAGGGGCAGCTTGGACTAGAGCTGCTTCTGGACAGTGAGACCCGGAACCCCCCCGGCCAGGGACACCTCCACCATCATCCGCTTCCTCCCAGGACTGAGGGAATGACTTTACATAATTATTGAGTCTAGATTACGATCGTTATACTGATACAGCAATGTACTGAGATCTGACCCAATCTGCAAAGGGTCCGGGTGATTAGAAATCATAACTTGTGTACTAGGACCTAGGTGATAAGCAACTATAAGTTAACTTGTATCATAAATTCTGTATTATGCTGCTTATAGACTGTACTACATTGATTCTGCTGGTAGAAATCTTGTGCCATTCTAATCATAAATTCTGTCCTATACTAATCATAAAATGTTAAGAAAACAAAGCTTTAATTGAAACAACGATTTAGCACCATCGTCATTCTGCCAAGGATCCCTATAGGAACCTGCCTCCTCAGTGTCAGGTAACACTGCTGTGTGCCTGTACCTCTTTTCCAGGTCAGTCACGTAGATCTTCTTCCTGCGACGACTGTCTTGAGCTGACTGCTTGTTCCGGATCTTCCGACGCACTTTCTTCAGAAGCCGCTCTTCAGCCTGCAAGGATCATTTCTCATTATTAGCAGGGCTTTGGTGATCCACCCTTCACAAATCCTGCATAAATCCCATGTGCTTTCATCCTCTGTCCCTCCCACACCATTGAATGAGCTGCAGGAGCTGCAAGGCAAACTCAGGCCTGGTGATGTGGCCAGCAGCTTCCCCGTTGTAGCAAAACTGAGGCACAGCTAAGGGAGATGAAAAACATGCAGCTCACAAGCCACTAGGCAAGCTCACAAGCCACTGAACACGGCACCTGGGCAACAATGTTCTCATCAAGGCACCATCCTGTATTTTTGAGCCCCTACTCTGGCTGAAGCATTCAAGTGGTCCAAGTCTATTTGGGAGTGACAGGTTGTAGCGAGGACGCACTTTGGTCAGTGGCAGACAGGTTGGTAATGAAACACCTTCTTTCTCCAGGAGTTGCCTCTCCTCCTCTGTCAGGACCAGCTCTGGGAAGTCAGACTAGAAAACAGCAAAAATACATCCGCTGAGAATGACAAGTAAGGGGAGTCCACCCCAGGGCAGACAGGGCATGAAGAAAGCAAACAGAACCAGCATTAGCTCTCCCAAAGCAGCATCATGCTTTCCTCAGAGGTATCCCTCACAGGCAAGTCAGGAGAGAAGGGGAGATGGGCGCAGAAGCAAAGGCTGGGGCCCACACGCATGGCAGTCAGTACCTGCATGATGGTTCCAGGCACAAGCTGGGGTCCGGGATCCACAGCAACAGCCACGGGGAAACTGGGGCTCTGTTCGAGCGCCTTGCTTGTGCCTTCCAAATCTGTCCATGTCCCTGGGGAAGGAAGAGAGAGTTGGGCCTCAGTGAGGCAGCACGTGACCAGCCAGCTTTGAGCAGCATGAAACCACAATTTTACAGCAGCAGAATGCCATTAAACTCAGCTTTCTCCATCGCTGCTTGGCACCCACCCAAAAAATCCTAATGTGGGATTGCTTGTCTCTCTGTAGCCAGCACCAAAGGAGCCCACAGACATCACTTACCAAGGTCAATGGAAACGTCTCCTTCTGCTGTTTCAGACCTCACGCTTTCCAGCACTGGCCAATCCTGATGGAGGGAATAGCTGTGATCAACCTGCACAACGTCTGAGCTCCGAGGGCTGCCAGCAAAGTTGCTGCTGGGGCTATGGGGCAGATGCTGATCCTCAGAAATGCCGCTGTCACACTCAGCAGGTGAATAACCCTGTAGCGTGCCTGGTTCATCTTCAAAGGGGCTCAGCAGGGAGCCGATGAAGTCATCCATCTCTTTGTCCAGGAGCTGCGGAGAAAAAGCGTTTACTCATCAGAGAGCCAAACCTCCCGAACCACAACCCAGCAGTGATTCCTCCCAAAGAACTCACCTCAGGTGCTGGCAGGCCCCAGTCTCCCAGCAGACCGTTCTCCTCCCCTGGGACTTCAGGGCAGGGAGCATCATCCTTCAAGAGGAAGTCAAGCAGTTCCTCATCTGCCAGGGCAGGCAGTTCCCCTAGGCAGGACATCTGAGCAGGACACCCAAAGTGAGCACAGGCACCAGGGCAGATATCAGCACTCCTTCAAGATGTCCCTCAGCCCCTAAGCAACAGCAACAGCTGCCAGGGCTCTGCAGTGACAACCAGCCCAAAAGTACTTCCCTAACAAGGCTATTATACCACCACTGATGGTACCAGCACACCAGTTTCCCCACCCGACTAATGAGACCCAGCCACAGCAGCCACACTCCAACCAGAATGCAAAAGCTGCAGGAAGGAGAGGGAAAGTGGAAAGGCTGCTGACTCTCTGCCCTGGAGAGCATGTGCCATACCACTGAAAACTGGAGGTGCCGTACCCTCAGTGCACAGCCAGCGGGGCCAGTCTCCTGTTGCAGGTGGATTATTAAGAGAAGTCACCGTCGTGGGGTTACTAAAAGGGTTTTATTAACTATTAAACAATGATCAAATGATAATAAATAGATGACTGAATGAATGAAAATGAAATGGTAATCAAATCCTGATTAAGTGATAATTGAAAGGTAATTGAACAGCGATTTGACAGCAATTTAAACAATAATTTAGACAGTGGTCAAACATCTACTAGTTACTACACTTCTAATAATTAAGGTATAGTTCGAAATATATATATATACACACACATATATATATAAAATGCCACTAGCACATAATATACTTTCAGGCCGGAAGTAAAATGCCGCTTGCCTCACTGGCAATATCAGATGCTGGGTGAAGGGTCTCTCAGCCTTGAGCAGACGTCCCTGCTGATGGGGGAGATCACTGCCATGCAGCCCGCTGCCCTACAGGAGAGCTCAGTGGGCCCAGGTGGGCTACAGGCATTTGTAGCGTAAAGGGAAGGACTCGTAGTCAAACCCTGTGGTGGTGTTTGTGCAGCTGTGGCAGTTTTAGTTTTGTCTAGTCCCAGTTTGGGCTGGTGCTGTTTTCTCCCGAAAAGATGAGGCCTAGACCCGCTGGTCCCTAAGCAGATGCAGCCTAGCAGAGTTCTCAAGGTTTGTTCGGCAGGGTTGGTATCCCCCAGGACTGCTTGTCGGTGACGCCTGAACCAAAGCACAGCTCACCCAGTCAGAGCGGGGGCACCCGTCACACCTCCCCATTAGCACTGTTAAGCTTTCACATCTACCTGGGAGGTGGTACAGCCCGAGAAAAACAAACAAAACCGTAACAAAAAACAAAACAAAACAAGAAACAAAAAAACCCCACCACAACCAAAGCCAGCCGGGCAGGGCTGACCGCAGCCACAGGGCTGCTGTGCCAGCCGCCGGGGAGCAGGAAGCTGGTGCGTGGGGCTGTCCTCGGACGGCACAGCGAGCAGAGCCTCACCAGCAGAAAGCGCAGCGGCGAGAGGAAGGGCAGCCGGGCAGAGCCTGGGCGCCGAGGGTTTTCTCTGCAGGAAGCGGCAGGCGGCA